AGCGCCTTCCCTCCCGCCCTGAGGGACCCGCCGCCGCCCGGTAATCGAGTGTAACAAAAAGGTTTCCCCACCCAGAGCATCCTGTAAGATGCTCTGTAAGAAAGGTTATTACACACCCTCATTTAGTTTAACACCCCGAAAATGAAGGCCTGAACAGTGTAAAAGACAGCCAGTGTGCTTAATCCTAGAAAGGCAGGTAAAACAATAAATAAATTTTGAAGATATATAAAAACATTCAAAGACAACTGTAAGAACAGCTGGTTTTAAAGACTCTTGTTAATCAGGAAAGGAAAAAAAAAAAGATGACCTTTACAGAGGAACTTGTATTTATGACTGAACGGAAGAACAGGACCACTCCAAAATAAATATTGAAGCCACACATGTACAAGGTGAAAAAAGATCAGTGAAGGTAAGAAATAACATGGAGAGTTGACTCACCAAACAACTATCCAAGTTAATCAACATTATCAGAAGAAATGGTACATGCAAAAGCTATTAAAATATACCAGACAAACTTGCAAATTGTGGCATCACTTCGGAAGTCAGCATGTTTTTGAAAAAGAAACACTATTACAAATTACCTACCACCTGTCCTGGCCAGCCATACCGAATTAGTGCAAGCAATCAGTGTTTCGTATGTAAGTTTATAAACTCCAACAGCCCAGGAAGAAAAAAAAACAAAACCAAAATCGAACAAAAATATATAACCATGCTGCAAGAGAGCAAACCTGCACAGATGTGAAGTCAGAAGGTAGTAGGTGAGCTCACTGGAATGCAAACAAGATTAGCATGACACTTGCAGGACAGCCAGGAGAAACTGGAGAGCTGCAAAGTGAACTGGTTGAAAAGGACTAGGAACAACCAGTTACTCTTCTTTCAGTGCTCAACAAAAGAAGCCACACTCTTTAAGTATGAAAACTTCAGAGAGCTGACCACAGGAAAAGCAATGCACACCAAGACACTGCTGCAAGACAAACATGGAGTGGTGTTTTGACAATCATTGACTTCACAGATTAAAAAAAAAAACCTGCCATAGATCACAGAGCTAGAGAATAGAGCAGTAGTTCTTCCAAGGAAGGACATTAATGTCATTGTAATTTCTCACAGATAACCTAAACACAATGCATAATTTACAAAGTGCATCTTGCTATCTGGCTTTTGGAATGGACATGAATCTATTAATTAAAAAAATGCTTGAATCTCTCCTTTCAGAAGAGAAAAGATAGGCACTCAATACATATGTCTTCACATTTTCACAGCTTTTATCTAGCTGATAATGGAAGTACCCTACTTCACCTAGAACAGATGCCCTGATTTCAAAGTTTTGGTGGTTTTTTTTTATAAAATTACTTTTTAAATTACTAGGCTGTCATTAACGTAGGCCATTGTTCTTCTGTGACAACAGAACTGGAACTAGGTAAGGACACAAATAGCCCCCACTCAGTAGCAAGAACCAGCTACTAATTTCAATAACCCAGATTAAAAGGCTTAGTGTATCAATTCTCTCATCCATATACACCTCTTGGTCTTCATCACATTACCAATTCTCTTCAGAACTTTCTATCTTCTTCCAAAAACATGCTTCATTCCATGTCAGAACAACTCCACCTATCTTTAGTTGCTTCACAGGATCTAAAAAGGCTTAGAATTCACTCTCTGTGTAACAAACGTTTATTCAGAAACAGATAATACATTATCTTCTCCAACCCCTAATGCTTCTTCTCCCCCCCCTTTTTTAATAAAACACAGGTGTTTGATGTGCAATCTAAAAAAGGAGAACAATAGCTGTCTTAGGTCCCCTCCCCTACAAACATCTGCTGTTCACATGAAGCACCCTACTAATAATGCGTCATTGGCTTCCAAACCAAAGAGAGTACTCTGGAAAAACAAGTCCTGCCAAGTCCTCAGTTATTTCCATGGCTAAAAGGAATACAGTGAGAGGAATGGTGTGCATGAGCTAAATAGAGTTAAGAGTTAACACAGAACAAGAAAGCAAAAGAAACACAGGGTTGACCAGGAAATGGAATCTGGACCTACAACAGTTACAGAGTTCATTAAAAGTTCAGCAGAGCTGAACAGAATGGATTAGGTTAGTCTCCTACCTAGAAGGATCAAATTCAAACCCCAGCCAGATTCTGGAAGTGACTCTTAGCTTTCCTCTTTTATAATACAATTTGAACAAATACAAACAAATGGCACTACCAAGACTTCAAATATCCATGGCAATAAGGCTGTACTAACAAAGACAGTATTGGAAGTGCCACCTAGTGGCCCACGGCTTGTCACAGGTGCTCACTGGCCCAAGGTACATCCTGGCTGCTCTGCATGGGACTTGTTTCAACACTCCTCTCCTATGTGCCCCATACAGCACTAACTGGTCTCCTCTCCAAAACCTCTCCCTGAAGCCATGAAGTGCAGCAATCACCCTCCAAATCCATGCATGCAAGCAGCATGCCTGCACAGCAGCCAAACATTGCCCAAATGGCACCTCTCCAAGAAGTGAGTTCTCAGGTGCAAGAAAAGACTGCTTCCTGTATATTAGTATCTGAAAGGCCCCATCTCCTTCCTTTTTATAGGAGATTGGGTAAGTTAGAAGGTAAGAAAACAAAAATGTATGTCCCTGCATCAGCAGGAGGATGCAATACAGTCTAATGGGAGTGAAACACCTCGATTTCCTCTAGCTCTGAACACAAGACTGGTTCTTATTTTTCAGTCGAGAAAGAAGAAAGCAACTGAGCCTGACCTACAGGGCTAATACATTCATTGTACAAGTACCAGAGCCTTTTGTTTCCCCCCACCTCTCTGCATTACCAGAGTTGAAGCATCCCTCCCACAGCACAATGGGTGGTGCACTTGTGCATATGTCCTTTCTGCCTGATGCCTCTGTTGGCTGGTACACACAGCAGGAAGCCCAGTTTTTCCACACTTCTTCTCAATGTCACAGCTGCTGAGCAGAAAAATATCCAACAGCCAGAATGAAGTAGTATGCCACCAAATGCATACAAGTCAAAGATGCAAGATGGTGCTTCCTGTATGGAGCCACACCTGACTTTGTACCCAGTGCAGCAATTTCAGAAACAATGCAGTGTTCTTGCCTGTTGATAATCAAGGAGATGCGCCTTTTAGTTAAAGGTCGGTCAGAAGAAAAAAGAAGGAGATCACCACTCCTTCCCTCAAAGTCTATGTGCACTTTTAATGGCCACTAGGGACTTTGGAGTAAAGGAGGGAATTACATGGTATATGCTTGGTAATACATTACTGGCAGAAGGGGGAGGTTATTTTTTTGGAAAAAAAAAAATCATAGAAGAAAACTCCAACTATGAAAACAGAAAGTACACACACAAGAGGAAACACTATTTGTACAGTAAGGTAGCGATCATAGAAAACAAAAAATTTCAAGGCAGGCAAATGCAAATAACATCTGCACTCCTGCACTTTTCTCATTCCCCAACTTAAATGAGTTTTCCAGTCCAGTGCTTGCTCCCTCTTCTCAGAGTTTAATTTTGAATTCTGTGGGCTGCACAGAGGCAGAGACCCCTGAAGATTTGAAGAGTGCCTTCAAGATAGTGTCAGGGTCCACTTCAGCTGGGGGATTTGAGGAGGTGCTTGCACTTGACCGGCGTGGTTCCCCTTCCTTCTTCACTGAAGGAGTATCACTCAATCGGCTGGAGGATTAAAAAAAGCAGTATTTAACCTCATTATGAAATAAAATTTAACATTATGTCTGCATTTACTGTTCTCAGTGTTGCCCCCTCCCTAATATTAGAGATAGAGGTTTTAAATATGTTTTCCTCACAAGAAAATGTCCTCATCTCAGACTAATTTTGAGCCTCTGGCCTGGGAATGCTATGGAGTCAAGCTATACTGCACTCAGCTCAACATAGAGCACCACAGAGAAGAACAGAAGGAGAATACTCATGGGACAATAATTTGCCAACAGTTTTCCTCCCCTCCCCTCAGGTTCTCCTCAAAACAGAACCTGCAAATGTGTTTGGTTCTTCCCCCCACCCAAAGGACACTTACAGCAATATAGGCTGGTCTGAGGTGATGACATTCCCATTCATATGGAGGTTGCATTTCATTGGTTGACCTAAACAAACATAATAAAAAAGTCCTTATATGAGAATCGTGGTAAGGCAAGACCCCAGAAGTCTCACACATCAGTGCAAGCAATAGAGTTCCAAACGCTGGGGAAAACATGAGAAAGAACACCTGATACATCTTTTGTTCCAAAATCACAACAGTGGAATAGCCACTGAAACACTCAGTACATTATGAAGACTCACACTAATTAAGAAATTACATATATGTACAAAACCCTTAGCAGAGACACAAGAGAATCTCCCATTCTCAGATGTCTGCTCCTCATCTGACATTAGTAACATGTCACTCATCTAGAAAAAGCCTCTATTTGCAGCTAAAAATTAACAGCTAATTTCAGCTTATAACATCATTGCAGGTAGATCCAGATTAACAATTGCACTGTTCAAAATTTATGGAGAAGCCAATACTAATTGTTTTACAGGTCTGATTCAAAATGTCTCTGACTATGCCTGACAGTTTTGCAAATATTAGTTTTACTTATGCTTTGCAAACAGCTATTCTGTAAGCAGATAAAGCCTTCCTAAGGACTATCTAGCTCTTGGTACTGGTTTAGAAACAAAAGGAATTTAATCTGGAAGTTAGACCAGGGAACCCACCTCTTAGCTTTGAGCATTCTCTTTTTAGGAAATCTATTTTAATTTCCCTTAAATAAACTGTGCATATATTCAGCTAGTTACATAGAAGTGATTACATTGTTTAACTCTTGAACTGATTTTCTGGCATCTCCTCTCTCTTGGTAGCATGAGCATCTGAAATGCTTTTAAATTCTATGCTGAGGTAGGAAAGTCTTTGTTGATTTATCTATCCTAAATGCAACTCTGGCCTCAAACTTACCATCTAAGCACCTGTTATTGTATTTCTTATACGCTGTGATAGCATCTTCTTTCTTCACAAATACTACCTCAGCCACTCCAGGGTGCACCAGCCGGGCTCGCTTCAGAGCACCACACACACAGAATAACTCCTGAGGGCAGAGAGTTAGTCATGACCATGGTCACATCAAAGGTATCACTTCAGCCAATGACACTTGAGTGAGAAGGGCTTCATTTCCTAATTGTACCACCCATCCTTCTTAGTAAATACGTGTCAGAATCTTGCCACCTGTCTTATTTTGTGTTTGCTATGTATGAGTAGTTGGCATCAGTCATAGATGTTGCACAAAGCTCTATACTGCTACCAACACAAGCAGAAAGGTTCAAGGCCAGTACTCTATACTGTTTGTCACACATGAAGACCAGGCTCATTCTCAGCCTGCTGAGAATAGCAGCACCTAGATAATTTTGCTGGGGGCATAAATACAAGGACACCACCAGCATGATTTGGCATGAACTCTTCTAAATGATGCCAGGTATTCAGTACAGCCTAGAAATGGTATTTTGTCCCAACTTCTTAGGCACACTTTTTAAAAAGAGTGAACAAAAATCAAAACAGAAAAAAAATCAGGAGCTCTCCAAGTTTTTGTAAGGAAAGCAAACCCATGTCATACCCCTCCTCACTGCATTCACCATAGATCAAGTGATTTATCAAAAGAGGTAGGTTAAGGGAAGGAAGTGTCACTCATCCACAGTTCAGCAGTAAGCAACACTCACAACAATGTCTTCCTCTGTGACTCGAGGATGCAGATTGTTTACGGTCATCTTTGTGCCTTCCAAAGGACTGAATGCCAGCTGCCAACACAAATGAATGCACCACATAAAGGTTAGAAATGCAGCAGGCAAGACAGCACAGCAGAGAAAGCATTAAAAAAAGTCACTAAAGGGATGCCTGGGAAAGTCTGTACACACACAAAGGCAAGAGCTATGGCTAGTAACAGGAAGTACTAATGCATACAAAAGCCCAGCTCATCTGATGATGAAAAGGAGCCCCTCTTCCATGCTAATTTATCTCTGAAGTAACTTTTTTCTTTCATTCCCATGTATTCCTAACTTAATCTGCACACACAGTACTCTCTGGTCATGCCCACACTCCAAAGCACATCTCTCTGCTGCACTCTACACCAGCCAGCAAAACCCAAAATGTGGCTCCTGCCCTTCAAGAGCATGCTGAACTCAACCTGCTTGGGAACACCTGGTGGGTCATCTCTACCCAACATCAGGCAGTTTGGCAAAGCAGTTCCAGGTAGGTTGTCTACAAATTGCCCAAGAGGTCTTGTGTACAGATACAGCAAGAAGCTGCATCTGGAAGAATCCTGTTTTTCTCCTTGCTAACAGGAGCAGACAGATGACAATGCAACTAATAGTGTTAAAACATTATTCCTAGGGACATGGAAGCCTCCAAGGGATATTCAAACAACTGCCACCTCCCTGTAACATGGATTCCTCCAGGATCATGTGCTCCCATGCTAGATAAAGAGGTTGAGAGAGGCAAGATGCACTAACTGAGAATTCAGACTCTCTTAAACACTGAAGGAAAGGATGTTTTGAAACCTGACTAATTCTTGGGACATGGGTTGCTGTTATTAGAATAAGCTTGATGGACTCCCAGAAATAATGGGGGAAGGCAGGCAGAAATGAGCTGCTTGCCTAACCAATGAACAGCAAGTTTCAGCAACTTCTATAAAGAGCATCTCCCACTTCCCTGAGCTCACCTCAACAGGTGCTGGTTCTTTTGGAGGCTCTTCCTTTGTCACTAAAGTCCGGGACATGTTTGTCAAGGCCTTCGTCCGCATAGGAGAGGGAGGTGCAGGTGGAGCTGTGTATGTATCATTCTGGACCACTTTAGTCAGGGGAACAGTCTTAGACAGAGAGAACTTATTGCCACTCAGCCCAGCCTACAGGAAGAAAGAATGAAGTCTGAGAGCCACAGGCTGCAAAAGTCATCCCTCCAAGCACCAACAGCAAGAAAGTGTTACTAGCATGCACCAAGAACTGTATGTCCTTCCCAGTGTCAAAACCATACAGTGCTGCAGACTTTCCACTTTGAGACAAAAATCAACTACGCTTTCTGGGCATATGTTTATCCCAAAAGAGAACTTCCCTCACTGACAAGCACTTTCTGGCTTCATATGCTTCTCAAATGAACTTTACCAGTGCGATTTGAACTTGAAACCAAAGATTTTCAAGTACTTCAAAAAGCGTACACCAAGATTGCTCATTAACAATGAGATTGATCTGCCCTAGTACAAACAGCAATACTTATTCAGAAACACCAAGCTAGGGAACACGAAGACATGGCGCATAACCTTTCTAGTTGGAACTACCTGGGGAGTTTAAAAGCCAGAATAAAAATTGTGCTTGGCAGCTGTTGTGAACACTGGAGATAACACATTTACTCCTGAAAAAAAAAAACAGAGGGCTGATTTTAAGCATCACAAATGGCTAGGAGCTCTATTCTGAACATCCACATGAGAAAAAAACAAAACATGGGATAATCATTGCACTAAACTGCCTGTGTGATGGTAAAACTGCATTAATTTGCTTTCTTAGAACCACAGAATAATTCAGGCTGTCCAGCCCTCATGTCTGAAACAGGGATAACTTCAAAGTCACACCAGGTTAGCTCAGGGCCTCATCCAGTTGAAGTCTGAATATCTCCAAGAATGGCAATTTCAAAACCTCTCTGGGTCCCTGCGCCAGAGGCTGACCAATATCCTGAGAACCGCACAACTCTCCCCCTGTATCTAACTAGTTTCTTCTGCTGGAACACATTTGTTGGTTCATCTTCTCCCTGTTCACTCCTGAAAAGGACCTGGGTTTTGCCTTTTCCACAACCACCTAGTAGGCAGTAAAAGTGCCTGGACAGATCTCACTACAGCCTTCTCAGCCTTAAGAGACACTGCGCGCTCACTCCCTCCTCAGCCCCCGACCACTCTGTCATACTACTTCCAGTCTGTTTTGTATTGCAGAACCCAAAGACAGGCACAGTACTCCAGGTGCATTCTCAAAATGTCAAAAAACAGATGGCAATAATCATCTTCCTTGATTTGCTAGCTATGATCTTACTAATATACAATCTACAGTTAGCCTTCCTTGTGCAAGGATGGGCTGCTGACTCATTCTAAGTCTATCACCCAGCAAGAACCCCAGGCTCTTTCCTACAAAGCCGTTTTCTAGGCAGTCAGTTCTTAGCTTAAGTTGCAGAGGGTTATCCATCCCAAGAGCAAAGCCTCGCATTTGTCTGTGTTGAAATTCCATCTTCTCCAGAGCACCAGTACTGCCCAACAAGCTGCCAACTAAGATCTTGCATGGCAATAGATTTGCTGCTTTGATGTCCAGCCTCTAGAAGCAGCAGAAAGCTTCCCTTGCTGCCTGCTCAAACAATAATGAGACATGTTCAAAGCACTTCTGCAACAAGAAGAAAGTCAAGAGCTAACATGCAGCAACCTGCCAGCAAGGGAGAAAGCGCATATTCTGTCTGCAAAAGGCCTCTAAAACCACAGTTAGCCTAAAAGGGACTCGGTCCCAAAAATAACACTAGAAGCATTGGCATAAAGGGAAAGGTGGGGTAAAGAGCAAACATTTCAGGAGAAAACATCATTTACATACTTTAAAAGAACATAAGCCCTGTAAAGCCGCAGCCTGTGCATCCACCCAATGTGAGCATGGCGTGGTGGGGACTGTTCAGATAATCCCTTACCGCGTTGTGCAGGAAACTGTTTGTGGTGGTGATTTTCATCTGTTTGCTAGTAAGGGGAGAGACACTTTCATCATCATCTTCCATGTCATACAGACCCTGAAGAGGCAAGGTAACAGTTTATAAGCAGGTAGATTTAATCTAGACATTTCCAAAATTAATAGTTTTCCCCTGCTTTCAGCCTTCTTCAGGTAATGGATGTGACTATATTGGACTTTACTCCTGCCCTTGCAGCTTGGGTAGAGCTGAAAGTACGCAACTCCATTTCACAACATCCATGTGAAAACTATCAAACTTCTTTTCTGGAAATGCCACAGTAAAGCTGTTTCCCTAGGTGTACTGAAACTACACACACATCTCTAATTCCTGGAACCTCATCAGGACTAATGAAACCACATTCATGGAATAAAGCCTCAGTGTCTTACTTTTCAGCACACCATTACCTTTAAAGTTGAAGCCTGTGCATAGGATTTTTTTAAAATTAAGCAGATGCCTGCCAAATACATCCGAACCAAACGTTCCTTTTGAATAGCCTGCTTTCCCCAGCACAGCACATATCCATCTGGCTTTAGAAAACACTGCACTAAGAGGTTTACTGAATGAATAATTAGTTTCCCAGTTCAACCTGAAACCCATAGCCCTGCCTTAAAATACTGAAGCGAACTCCTACACAAACGTATTTTCATAGACTCTAAATAATGTTAAGAAAGAGTGTATACACACATGGTGCTGCCCAGAACGTTAAGTAGTCACAACTCAAAACAGCTTCCCATTAATTCAGTAGAAAGGTGAGGAAAAATGGGGGGATTAGCAATGAGAGCTTGCAAAACAATTACGTTTTCATAGTCAGAAAGATTCTGATTTACAAACAGTAAAGTTGTTCCAGTCACAGAAATGCTATGAAGGAAAAAACAACAAAAGGGATGGTAGAACAGAGGAGAATTGTGCAGAAAAGAAAAGAACTGGAAAAAATGCTAGCCATCAGGACAATGGACTTGACTTTTAGACAAATGAGATGAATTAAAGACATAGTGATGAGGTCAGAATAATGAAGACAATTCCTTAAGTGAGAGAGCATATGGGACAAGTGAGGGCAGCAGTTCGATGCAGAGGTAACATACACAAATAGCTACCATAATCAAGGCAAAAAAAACCCCAGGACATGATATTCTCCATGTCAGTTTTCCACTATTTCATGTAATACTTTATGTATTCACATACAATAAAGTAATTAATAAAAATGTGCAATTCCTCTCTGAAAGCACCCATGGTGGTAAGGTGGCTGAATGTCTGGGGTTGGTGACAAAAGCCTTTAAAATTGATCCCAGAAAAGCGAGCACAAATTCCAGAGTTTTCCTCAAAGTCTGCTTGATAAGGGATATGGCAACTTTGATAGTACATCAGAATACCAGTTAACATAATTCACTACCAGGTTTCCAGCAGGGACCCACAGCTGGGATTTCACAGGAAGATTATACCCTTTCTCACTTCACTGCAGAACATTTGACTATGTACAATCATACCCATTCTCTGAAGAGGCTGGAAGGATGGTAAATCAAAACAACAGACAACTTGATCTGATGTCATGCCACTGAGAATTACAGAGAAACATCTGAGCTAAAGGTCACAGTCTCTAGAAGGAAAAATGTTAGCGCTTACAGATAAAAACCAGGAATAGCTACTTCACATTCATATAACACATAAGGAATCAAGATCATTTAGACCACATGAAAATCTTAGTTACCATAAAAGTGTCTTAATCACATGAGAATAGGGAGCTAAGCTGTTAGAGAACTTGCAAACACTCCACCTTTGTTTCCTACTTGAAGTTTTCTCTGCACCTGCCAATGTTTATGGACACCTTCCTTTCCCTTGCACAAAGGTAACAAAGAGCACAGAGTAGGCACACACCTGTTTGTGTGTATGGTTGTTCACCACATTGATCCTGCTGGATGAGAGTGTCCAGGAACTGGAGCCTTCTGCTACAGTTAGAGGGAAAGAATCAAAGCATTAAAACACAAGAGTCCACAAGATTCCCATTTCACAAGATTGGAGCTCTTAGTTGATATCCTGAGACCACTCAAATCTCACTCTCCTGCTCTTGAAACATTATCATCACAATATGCTACTAGACAACATCTATGTTTCCTGTAAGATGTTCAGTATGAGATGGCTTCACTTAATCAAGGAAATTAAAACCTAAGGCCACAGAAAGAAACTAATTCAAATTACTTGAGTTTTAGTCCAAGATTAGTGGGAAAGGGACTTAACTCCAGTCCTGCCAGCACTGACTAGATCTACATTTCTGCCAGTATGAAACCATGAATGGGTTAAATCAGCAAGTAAGCTTCTCTTCTTTCATACCACAGGGAACCAAAGACACCTTTTTCCATCAAACTCAAGAAGCTGGGAAACAACACAATTTAATTCACTTCCATTTCAAAGTGGTATACACTGTCCCTTCACATTACCGCTGGAGTAGGCTGCAGTAGAATAAAATGATGCACGGGGTAGCATAGCTGACCCTTCTGGAGTCTGTTACCCATGAAACAGGGAAACCACAACAGAAGTAGTCAGGGAATGTAGCTGTACTAATCAGCAACTGAAATCAAGCAGCAACTCCCTCAAAAATGCCCTTTTGGTTTTTGAAAAAGCTGGAAGCTGTCCATTACAGAAAAGAATGTGTCTTGTTACAAAAATACTGCATACAGGAAGGAAAATCCTCAGATTTGCAACTCTCTGGACTGTAACTTACACCACAGCACCCGCATGTTTCAATTTGCTAAGCAATTCAGAAAAAAAAGGTACCTGTCCTATGGAAACATCCAGCAAAGCTATGGATATTCTATGGGTTTCAAAGACTTTTTTCCTTCATTTATGAGAAACAAGGCCACAATACAGGTCATCAGAGCTGTGCGCTGCATCTCAGATCAAGATGCCTTAGTTGGATTCTGCTCCCATGTTTGGAAGAGAGAAGAGGACCATGCACAATTTGGAATATCAGTATAAATCTTTTAAAAAAATTAGGTAATTGCTCATGTGCATGGTTTTGTCTACAGTCTTAATTGCCATTATATTCTACAGTATTTTATCTTGCACTATGTGGTCTAACAAACAGAAAGTACAACAGGTTAGACCAAGTCATACAAAAAAAAGAAAAAAATCATGTCAGAGTAAACTGCTGCTGTACCAAGTCTCTGGAAACTATTTTAACTCCTACAAAACTTTGTAGACAATGTTCAACTCCTAAGGCTGATGGTGGTTTGGCTTAGAAGGACAGCATGAATACTCTTTACCCTACTAATTCAAGACTATTGAACAGACTGCTCTATTGCTCTGCAATTAGCCCTTCTTACTGCTACAAGAGTCCTTTCTCTTTCTTAGGTCAGCCTGGCAGGAAACCTGCAAAGTAATGGGAAATTTCCTAGGCTAATTTAAAGAAATATGCTTGATGGACTTGACCAAAATCCACAGCTGAACAGAAAGCAGACTCATCTAGGCTTTCAAACTGATGAGGAGATTTTCTGTGTATGTGTAAGCACACTGTTGATCTTTGGGAGGTGGAAAATGAAGGAGGTAGGCTAGGAACTTCAGTTACATGCTTGTAGAGGTGAGGAACAAAACCACTCCTCAAACAACCCTGACAATCTGGAAACTTCTTTTCTGACTCTACCCACTGTACCTAACACACACATAGTTCAACAGTAGTTGTGTCTCAGACAAGTCTACTAAGAATCAAGTTACTGCACACACAGCAAAGTGAAATTAGAAAACTGTCAGAGGAAATGACAGGCTAGGGTGATCAACTGATTATACTGCAAATGAAATAAATCTTGAGTCTCAGGAGGAATGCATCATGTTATCAGGCAACTCCCTAGAAAGGAGCTTTCCTGAAAACCAGACAAGTAGAAACAGAGAAACTGCAGACAGGCTCATTGAATTTTAGATCTTCTTAGATACAAACATAGCTGTATATTCTAAACTGTTATTCCACCACTAGGATAAACCAGTTATCTAAACAGGATAATCCACCACGTCAGACTTGCAAAGAAGGGTGGTATAAGAATGACAAAAAATGCATACGTTTTCTTTGCATTTAGGTGGGAAACAGAGACTACTTAACCATTCAAGACAACTACTTTAATGCTGACAGGAGTGCTGCTTTAGTCTTTATGGGGCTCAAAATTCAAATGAAAGCTGGGATTCTACAAAAAGCCCCAAGGAGCTGCAAGAACACCCAGAAGGCTGTAAAACCTGCCTTGCAGGCTGGACTGAACTGTGACACCATCACTTCTATTGTAAACATGTGAACATATTCATGCATTATCATTTCTACTGGACTGCTGTAGAGTAACTGAGGGGCTCAGAAGTGGCTTGCTTGACCTACTTGGATAGTTTTGGTGATTTTCATGGCTGGATTTACTGTCCCCACAGTTGGGCTGATAGCAGCTGGAGCACTCCTTTTTAAGCTGATCTTCTCTCTGGCATCCACCACTTTGGTCACCTTTTCAGCCGCAACACTTTGCTGCTTACGGGAATTCAACATTTCTCGAGCATCCTGCACCTTCCCTTTGATTTTGAACCGAGCGTCCTTTTGAACCAGTTTTTCACGGGCATCTTTAACCCCCAGTTTGTGTCGGGCATCAGTGAGTCCTATCTTCTGTCGGGCATCAAACGTCCGCTGGAAGCTGACAGCTGGTGATGATCTATTTAGAAGATTTTGCTGGATCCCAATGCGAGATCTTACGCCTCCAAACACTGGCCTTGTGTTAAGCCTGGGGAAAAAAAAAAAGAGTTTCAGACATTGTAAGATGTGATACAGTATCACTAAAAGTATTTGTGTTGCTGAAAAAAAAAACCCTCATTACTGCACAGAAATCCACTCAGGTTAGATGTCCTAATATAACAGTATTGGTCCTAACCTGTTTTATGCTGGATTTTACTTTCTACATAAACAGCTAAGGAACCAATTTCCAAAATCCATCTTCCAGCTCACATTTACAAACTTATGTAAAGGGTCTGAGTTCAGCTGTGCTAAATACATACTACATTTAAACAAAATTCATCAACAACTTTGGTATTTTGGGGACCCTTTGAAGACAAAGAGGAACAGAAACAGACTTCCTAGCTTTAGGACTGAGCAGGTCTGCTAAAGCATCTTTTGTAATACAATAACATGTCCTGATACAAAGGAAACGTGGGACTACAGGTGATTTCAAGAATTCTGGGCAGCAATGTGGGAGTGTAGGCTTGGATTTTAGGTTGTACAAGCACCAGTACCAATCTCAGTTCAAAGCCACCAGTTTCAAAGTTGATTAACTGCCAGCAAGAATACTTACCAGTCAAATTACTTTTTAACATCACTGCCTCTTCTTTAATCTATTAACAGAACTGCTGCACTTGATGGCCTTTACTTTTTAAGCACATCATCATCACAATACTGAGCACAGAAAGATAACAGCCCATGGAAAGGAGAGCATTTGTACTTGTAAACATGTATTACCAAGAAGCAGCCCATTATGTAGCGAAAGCTGAAACTAGCTTCTTGTTACGGGTTTGATTCACTTTTTCAAAATCTCCCCTAAAAGGAAACAGCTTGTCTAATTTTTTAATACAGTTCCTCCTTTAAGTATTTTTTAAGGTTTTCTTTTTTCCATTGTGCGTTTTTTTTTTTTTTTTTAAAGATGACAGAGTGGCAAGAGAAATGTTAAAGTTAATGTACTGAAAAAATATTCTTGCTGTTAGCTTTTTAAAATTCAAAGTAAGCTAGAAGGCTACAGTGTTCATATGCTTTCTGAAATGTACTGTCCAGTATTCTGAAGTCTAAAAGTAGGTATCTGGAATTTGTTGTAGTACTCAAAAGGCTAACATCACAAATTCAAATTACAACGCAATTTGATTTCATCATACAGCTTTATATTAGTGTTTCCTGATCTAACCCTACAATCTTAACATTATTTACAGTCATGGCCTTTCAGTGGAGAAAACTGTTAAAAAAAGAAGATATGAAAGACCAAACCTCCACTTCTGCCTCTTTCATTTTTGTGTCCAGACAACTGCAGAGCTGGGACTGGTGTCCCATTTTGTTACCTAGCTAAAAATCCTACAGCTGCGCTCTCACACAGCCAAAGCACACTAGCTAAAAGAAACAGGAAGATTATTATGAGCATTTATTAAAATATGTCAAGAATAATACAGAAGACTAACAGTACCCATAAAACAACAGCCACAGAACAAGACTAACCTTGCACTTTCAAAAAGCATTAATTTAGCTATGTTGAAAGCATTCAGTTAGAGTGCTGGAGAAGGGCTTGATGAGTGGTTCTTTTTAATGAGCATAAAAAGAGGTCAAAGGAAAACCAGAAATATATGTATCAGCATTTAAGCCAGAATTAGTTAAAACTGTTAATGACATGAACTAATGAAATTGATTAGGAAACTCTGTACTGATGATTACACCATCTCTGAAAACTTGTATTTATCCTAATAAGCAAGTCACTTCCATACAGAACTGCTTACCCTACAACAGCATTAACTGTTTAGGCATTTTGTGCCACAGCACCTGAAATAAACAGGAATCTCAAACATCTAATTAACTTTCCAGAACTCCAGGCTCTGGCTTGAATATTTGGTGGATTAGTTTTATAGGTGAAAATTTTTCTGTTATTTCATCTAGACTACTGAACAGCATATATATAGCGATTTAAGTTTATTCAGTTTATCCAGTCTAGTTAGCTATCAAAGTCTAGTTAGCTACCTCAGAAGTCTTATGAAGTAAGCTAAACATGACAAACAAGAGAATGCAAGGCACAAAAATTCTTACAGAGCTGCAGAGGGATTATTGTTCAGCAAATAAAAGCAGGAAGAATTCCTGGAAGCAATGAGAGTTAAGGAGGGATTTAAAAAAGGAGAAAGGAGGTGCTTGGCATATTAAGCAGCATAATACTGTTCCAAATACACGGGGTAACATGAATGAAAGCGCAAAGCCAAGGCCTTGTCTAGACTAGAATTTAAATATGTGTCTGAATGTTTTGCTAGTATATGTTAGCATATAACTTTCAAAATACTACTCTAGACGTGTAAGTGTAGACATGCAGAGTTAAAACCTAAGATTCCCCAATGACCATTAAATTAAAAAAACCCAAACATCAAAACAGCAACAAAAAAAAGAGCACACTTAGCCAACAGAGATGGAGAGAAACCTACGGACAAGATCTTCAGAAGCATTAAGAGACTATGGCAAAAAGGAAGATGAAAAGCTACCAAAGGAGAAGCCAGCTAACTACCAACAGCAGCACTAGAGTAAATGGCCCAGCCTACACTGGAGACATCTGCCGCACAAAGATGGAATCTAATCTTGTAGTGGATACACAAACACACTCCCCATCCACACAAGCATTTCAAACAGTCTGTCAAAGTATCATTAACTATGCTACAGAGACTACAGTTTCTAGAGGCCAAGCAGCAATTTTGATGAAGCCATTGCAGCCTGAAGCCTCGCCTGTGCGGATCCCGATCAGCTTTGCTACGCTTACGGCTCCCTGTGGCACAACTACACCTCCCACGGCTATCCCACAATGCACCGTGCCGCTCGGCAACGCGCCGCTTCTGAGAGCTGCAGGGGGACCGGGCACCCCCAGGGCGCTGCCTGGCAAAGAGCGGCAGCCCAGCAGCTGGATCCTGATAATCCTGGCGGATTACCGAGGGGGCTCGGGGGTGGGGGTGTCGCCGAGGCCCTGCTGATCCCGGCTTGGGGAGCATCACTGGGTTAATCGGCGGGGAGAAGCAGGAGGTAGCGAGGAAAGCGCAGGTCGGAAGCACTAATGAAGGGATGGGCTGTGCCAGGGATCTCGGGAGAAAGAGGGCCCGAGAACTGGATCCTGATAATCCTGGCGGATTACCGAGGGGGCTCGGGGGTGGGGGTGTCGCCGAGGCCCTGCTGATCCCGGCTTGGGGAGCATCACTGGGTTAATCGGCGGGGAGAAGCAGGAGGTAGCGAGGAAAGCGCAGGTCGGAAGCACTAATGAAGGGATGGGCTGTGCCAGGGATCTCGGGAGAAAGAGGGCCCGAGAAGAGGACAGGCGGTGGGTGGGCCTGCCCTGCCAAGGCTGGAGTCCACGGGGCAGCGCCCAGCACACGGGGGTGAGGTGGGGGGACGGACCCTC